TATATATATATATATATATATATATATATATATATATATATATATATATATATATATATATATATATGTGTGTGTGTGTGTGTGTGTGTGTGTGTGTGTGTGTGTGTGTGTGTGTGTGTGTGTGTATATAATATATATGAGCAATATCACACAAGTGGCAGTGCGATAAGGTTGTATGTCAGCACTGGTGGGAGGAGTGCGTTGACACGAGGCATCATTTGGGAAATATTTGAAAAGGAAAAAAAGATTCTGATAATTATTCTGGTTTTTCTTACAGATAGAGATGCGTCTTCAGGATCAGCAGCTCGCACTTCAGCTGATGCGTTTGCGCAGCGATATTAACGATCTGAGAATCGTGCAGACGTGCAACCAACACCGCGAGATGCTGAACGACGCCACATTTGAGCTGGAGGAACGGGGCGACATGTCAGATTTATGTGATGTGCCCATGTCTCCTGGATTAGGCCTTTCCACACCACTTAAAGTCATCGGTGTCACAAAAATGAACATCAACACCCGCCGCTTCTCCCTCTGCTGACAGACACACTTTATTCAAAGAGAATGACTTTATAGAGTGCACTGTAAAGAATATCTGTAGATTAGTTTTCATTATGGGATGTTGATCTCTGCTCTGTCCACTTTTGATGTTGAAAATGCAACTCTACAGTTTAACAAAGTGACTTTTATTGATCTTTTAGTAGTTTGATTTAATATAATGTATGAGAAATAGAGAGAAATGAGTGTGTAAAATAACAAAAAATGTGCTGCAGACAATACCCAGACAATACATCGCTTTAAACTATTAAAAATGTTCATAAAAGTAACTTATTGACCTTTTCAAGGTAAAAATTTAAATAAGAAAGTTCAAGGTCCCGTAATGCAATGCAAAAGCATAAATAAATGGGGAAAAATATAAACATGAATCACAAAATACGGAAAACTGCTAATTTGTGGATATTTTTTACAGTGTAGATCTTGGACATTGACATTTTCAGCCTTTTACAGTTAAAGAGAATAAAAAAATGTTAGCCCTCCTGTGAAATTATAATATTGTTTTTAGGGTAAAATGTTTTCTGGAGAATGTTTTTTTTTTTTTTACTTGAATGGAATATATACAGTTGAAGTCAGAATTGTTAGCCCCCTTTGATTTTTTTTCTACCTTTTTTAAATATTTCCCAAATTATGTTTATCAGAGCAAGAAAATTTTCACAGTATGTCTGATAATATTTTTCCTTCTGGAGAAAGTCTTATTTATAAAAAAAAAGTAGATATTTAAAGCAGTTTTTAATTTAAAAACCCATTTTATGGTCAAAATTATTAATAATTTTGCTGGAATAAAAATATAGCTTAATTATGTTTAACAGAGCAAGGAAATGTTATTTTATAACTTTTTTGACCATAAATGTTATTTTATAACATTTATGGTCAAAACTATTAATAATATTGACCATAATATTTAATAATATTTAATCCAGCCGAAATAAAACAAATAAGACTTTCTCCAGAAGAAAAAATATAATCAGACATACTGTGAACATTTCCTTGCTCTGTTAAACATAATTAAGCTATATTTTTTCGATAAACTACAACCATCATTATACAATAACTTGCCTAATTACCCTAACCTGCCTAGTTAACCTAATTAACCTAGTTAAGCCTAATAATTAAGCGGCGAAAGTGAAGTAGGTTGGGGAGTCTCGGAAGAAAGGGAAAGTGAACAGCGGACGGGGAAGGAGGGCAGTCGAGGAGGGGGATCGGTAAAAGAAGGTGCAAGATCAGATTTTAGAGGTGCCGGGTCCGGTGTGTTCTGGCTCAAATTAAACCCTGTACTTCCCTCTTGTTAAGGAGGTGTGTGTTATTTCCTCATCATCCCAATTACAATGAACAGATAAAAAAGGTCCAGAGTTCATTTCAAGTGTGCTATTTGCATTTGGAATCTGTCAACTCTCAAGATGAGATCCAAAGAGCTGTCACTATCAGTCAAGCAAGCCATCATTAGGCTGAAAAATGCATATGAGCAATTCCGTGCAAATGTCAACCTTGCCATGAAAAAAAGTTCTCACCAAGATCCAGAAACCGTTTCTGGGTTTTACGGGTAAGCAAGTATTTTACAGTACTTTAGAAATACTCGAAAATGCATCTGTCAATGTTTTGCTTACTTTACAAGATGAGACAAGACATGAGATTGGTTGTTTTTTTTAAAAGTCAAGTTGTAATGAATAACTTCTATTTTAATAAATTCTATGAAGTAAAGGACATGCAAACACTGCAAAATACTTTGCTAATATATAAATGAAAAATAGTTTTTGGGCGACACAGTGGTTCAGTGGTTAGCACTGTGGCCTCACAGCAAGAAGGTGAACTGAATAAAATTGTCCGTAGTGTATGAGTGTGTGAATGTGCGAGTGTATGGAGGTTTCCCAGTACTGGGTTGCAGCTGGAAGCTCATCCGATGTGTAAAACATATGCTGGAATAGTTGGTGGTTCATTTCGCTGTGGCGACCCCTGATGAGTAAAGGGACTAACGCCCTATGCACGGGGCTTCAGTGTCAAAGCTTGACAAAGGGAGCGTCTGAAGTTGGGGCTGACGCGATCGTCATAGCAGCATCAGCCAATGAAATTAGTCAGCAATCGGCTACTGTCTGAGCTGGTGTATTTGCATACAGCGATCTGATTAGCCGACGAATCCACAATGCAGTTCGGCAATGCTTGACGACACCCATTCAAAGTGAATAGTAAGTGTTGACGCTGACAACCCGTGTGGATGGGGCGTAAGTCCTTTGGGGGGGGGGGGGGGGATTAAAGAAAATACATTTTTATTCAACTAGAAAAAACATCACAAAGTGCAAAACAACTATATTATACAAACATTTTAATTTATTTGTCCACAGAACAAGCCCCTGTTATACAATGACTTACCTACTTACCTTAACTTGTCTAATTAACCATGTTAAGCCTTTAAATGTCGCTTTAAACTGAATACTAGTGTTTGGAAAAGTATCTAGTCAAGTATTATTTACTGTCATCATGAGAGATAAACTTAAAAAATTTGTTACTAAAAGTCATTAATATCTTTTCGGCTTAGTCCCTTTATTAATCTGGGGTCGCCACAGAAGAATGAACCGCCAACTTATCCAGCATTTGTTTTACGCAGCGGATATTTATTAAAACTATTATCTTTAAAATGGTTTTCTGTAAAACCTCACTTGGTAAATATTTGACAAATAATTAAAACTTCACAGGAGGGCTAATAAATTCGTCTTTAACTGTATGTGATTTGCCTTAAATGGGAATTTCACACAGACTCTGAACACTGAATTTCTTTCACTAAATCACCATAAAAGTCAGCGAGTGTGTGATCTTTAATAAAATAAAAAATTATCTGGTCAGAGAAATGACTGAGGAAAATAAAAGGGTTCCATTTTAAAGGGTTGAGTATTTTTTTAAACAACAAATAAATGGATATAACAGAGCAATATAATATACATTCATAATAAATTACATAAAAATATAGTCAACCTATATTATTGTACTTCATACATGATATATCTAATGTTTATTATAATGATGACAGCCACTTAAAAAAAGTTAATCATACAAATATTTACAATTCTGCTATGACATATCTAAAACTGGACAAAAGCATTTTCCCGAACAGCACTTCTCAGATAATCTTCAATTCAACAGACAAAACACAATGATCAGTATATGCTGTCATTACAGTGTGAACTGGTGTAAATCAACATTTCAAGGTGACTTTAAATATATCTTTTGTACAGTCTTGGTTGTGTTTGATATTACATAACATATTGACATAACTTTAGGAAAATGTAGCTTGAACTTTACTAAGGTCTTGTCTAAGGTCTATCAGCCTGGAGCTGAATCTTTCTGAATAAATCAATTCCTTGAAATGTATTTAACAATGTTCATGAATTCTATAAACACATAAGAAGATATTTCACTCTTTTCTTATTCAATAAAGTCAATATTTTATTGCTAAATTTTTTGTTTTTATTTTTGGGTGAAGGATGTTTATATGTTTACAGAGTTTACAATGTTCTTTTAAAGGGCCATGAAACACCCCTCCTGTCTCAGCAGGGGTTTTTTCTAGAGGTGTGAACCTATACTGGTCTCATGGTTCGGTTCGGTTACGATAATCATACGATTATCGATTTGGTTCGATATCACGGTGCATTGACGATGCTTTCCATACACAGTGTTATATTTTGGGGGGAGGCTATAACAAGCTCTCTGTATAAACACACAGCACCACACTGTCTCTCATTCACACACATACACAAACATAGACAGCACCAAACGAACACACACAAACACACTTAAGCCCTCGCAAAAGCAATAAAAAAAACGAAAAAAAGAGAGCAATGGTCGTAATTTTAACTAATTTTAAATTTAATTTTAACACTGCTCCATTTAAACCCTTGCCAATATGCGTTCAGCCGGGAGAGCTCGTGCCGAGCGGAGGTCTTAGTAAGGAACCGTCGGAAAAGTGCTTCTTTTTTTCTTTTTTTCCTCCGTCCTGCGTGTTTTATTTTAAACACAACTAATTTTCTCTTAAATGAGCACAAACAGTTACTAAAGTAGTCGAATGCTTCATTATAGATCTGTGCATTATTACATTAACACATCTGTTATCAAACAAAACACAATGAGAGATTCACTAGCTGCTCTTCACTAAATAACTCTAGTAACTTTAATCAATATGCAAATACAATTAAAAGTGAAGTAGATTTTATAGCTGTATTTAATTCCTGATAGGCCATTGATTTTAATAGGCTAAACCTTTTGTTTCATTGTCAATATTTTCTAATGTTTGCTATGTATTCTATCATTTGAAGCTATTTGTTGTCCCATATTTTTTACATCCAACGTTGGACAGATTGCTAATCAATAAATAGCTATAGTGCTATATGTTAGTTTTGACGTCAGCTAATGGTGTGGAAGGGCATAGATGTTATGGAAAAAAGTAATGGTAATGTAACTACCCCCATCATTCCTTCTTCAAGCAAATGCGTGAATATTAAATCTATTCAGCATTAATGTTAATTGCATTGGCATATTTATCTGATGTTTTCCCAGCTTGTAGTAGTCAATCAAAAAGCTATTTAGTTTGGCTATACAGTGGAATTTACTGCGATGTGACGGGGCGCCACCTTTAATCTTGCCTAGGGTGCCAAATTGCTTAGGGCCGGTCCTGGTGGGACACATATATGACTGTCAGCATCTCAAAAAATGTGTTTCACGACCCTTTAAAATTGTATTGTCTTATTGTATTTGCAGTGTGACAGATCTAAACATTTTAACCGCACTTTTAATATAAATATTAAAAAATGAACTAGTTTGGGTATTTATAATATTATAAATAAATGAGTCAAGTGTGAGTAAATGATGGTAGAATGTTCTTTTTTTTTTTTAAATAGTTTTATTTTAAGTTTTTCTAAGTACAACAGAGCACAACAAACAAACAATATTGTCTCAGAATATACACCTTATGCTGGTAAATATATGAATTGCTATACATGTGGATTCAGCTGTTGAGGATACAAAATGTAGTGTTACACACAGGGGCGCAACTGCACATTTACTGATGGGTGTGCGACTTCAACTTTTGCGCGCCCCCCTTCAAAACAACTATATTTTATAACAGGCAAGTGATAAAATGTGGAAAATATTTCCATCAATAAATTAAAGATATTTTTTCTTAAAGATATCAATATGCTTCAAAACATACAGTTTCACAGTTCTGAACACAACTGAAATAGTATGAAGTAGTAAAAGGTATAATTACATTAAGCATGTTACG